ATGGTCATGTTATCTCTTGTTCTGCTCTTGCTTTCAGTCCAGTGGTCCTGGGCTCAGGAAGACCCTCTTCTGCCTTTCTCTGAACACCTGGACCTCGAGCACAAGGTGCGGCTGAAGTGGGGATTTGATAAGATCAAGGGCACAATCTTGTTCGAGCTCACGGTCAACACCAGCGGCTGGGTCGGTTTTGGCTTCAGCCCCAAAGGAGGAATGACTGGAGCTGATATCGTCATTGGAGGAGTCGGACCTGAAGGCAGATACTTCACGGTAAAGTCAAAGACTGTGTCTGATAACAGTCAAAGTCACTTACAGTGGAATTACAGCTAATTTTATATGTTTTTGATATTTTGTTCTGTGTTCTTTATTCTGATTCATATATTTGACCCTGGACCACAAAACCAGTCGCTGGGGTATATTTGTAGCAATAGTCAACAATACATTGTATGGGTCAAAATTAGATTTTTCTTTTATGCCAAAAATCATTAGGATATTAAGTGAAGATCATGTTCCATGAAGATATTTTGTAAATTTCCTACCGTAAATATATCAAAACTTCATTTTTGATTAGTAATATGCATTGCTAAGGACTTCATTTGGACAACTTTAAAGGCGATTTTCTCAATATTTAGATTTTTTTGCACCCTCAGATTCCAGATTTTCAAATAGTTGTATCTCGGCCAAATATTGTACAGCTTTTGTACAGCTTTCAGATGATGTATAAATCTCAATTTTATAAAAAATTGACACTTAAGACTGGTTTTGTGGTCCAGGGTCACATATACACTCTTGCCTTGTGTTTTCATCAGGTCAAGGTCATGACTGACAAAGACTTGCTGGCTGTTGCCTGTGAGCAGTTTCTGGGAAAGTCTGTCATGGAAATCAAGGCTGTGGTCCTGCAAACCCTAGAGGGACATTTGCGTTCTATCTTAGGTTAATAGATAACTAACAATTACAGTAACCTCATTAAAAAACAATGCTGACGGGTGTGATTCTATGAAGCTGATGTTCTGTTGCTGTTCTTACGACAGGCACTTTGACAGTGGAGCAGATCTACCAGGACAGAGATGAGTTTGCTCGGCTGGTGAGGGAGGTGGCAGCTCCTGATGTGGGCCGGATGGGCATTGAAATCCTCAGCTTCACTATAAAAGTAAGATATGTGTGTTTCTTAATGCAAAATCATACTCATGGACAAGGTGAGTCCTGCCTCCATTCTAGACCTCAGTGACACCTTGAACCAGTATACGTGTAGAATAAATATTAAATCAAGGGAACCAGATTGATTTCTTATATAATAATACTAAAGTACTATTATAGTATTTATTAATATTTTGAATTAGCTTTTATTTTTATATTTTCAGTTCATTTTATTTTGAATCTTAATTGAATTTATCTTAATTTGTTCAGTTCATTTAAATTTAATTAATTAATCTACGTACTAAATGAATTTTAGTAAGTAAATTAAATTTAGTAATTGTAAAAGTTAATTTGTTAGTAAAAGTAACTGTTATGTGCTGGTCATTTTTTTGTGTGTGTTTTGAGTTTTAGTCATTTTAATACTTTATACTTACTTGATTTCACTTTGTTGCCAAGCAGCATTTCTAATTTTCATTTACTAATTTACAAGTTTTTAAAATTGTCATATTTAATACTTTATTTTACTTCAGCTTTAGTTAATGAAAACTATTTCACATAATTTTATGAAATATTTCATATAATTTTAAGTCATAATCAATTATTATAATTAAAATAATAAAAAATAAATAAAATATTGACACTTGTCTTTTATTTACAGGATGTCTATGATAAGCTGGACTACCTGAGCTCTCTTGGAAAAACTCAGACAGCGGCTGTACAAAGGGATGCCGACATCGGAGTAGCCGAGGCAGAGAGGGATGCTGGGATTAGAGTATGAGTCTTTATTGCTAATGCATTATCCATTAGATGTGTGGCATTCATTAGCTCCCGTTTTCTCCCACCTCCTGATCAGGAAGCTGAGTGCAAGAAAGAAATGATGGATGTGAAGTTCTTGGCCGACACAAAAATGGCCGACTCCAAACGAGAGCTGGAGCTGCAGAAAGCTGCTTTCAATCAAGAAGTGAACACTAAGGTTGGATTCAATTTCATTTTAATCCAGGGCCATCATCTTAAATCACAGTCATCTTGTTAGCTGGTGGGATGTGAGCTTATACATTGATATTTATCAGTCTCAGATGAGAGTGGTAGTAATCATGTGATATGTGTCTCTCTTGTACATAGAAAGCTGAGTCTCAGCTGGCCTATGAACTACAGGCAGCTAAAGAGCAGCAGAAGATCAGATTGGAGGAGATTGAAATCGAGGTTGTGCAGAGGAAAAAGCAGATCTCCATCGAGGAGAAAGAGATTGACAGGACAGAGAAGGAGCTGATTGCGACGGTCAAGCGTCCTGCTGAAGCAGAGGCTTACAAGATGCAGCAGCTGGCTGAAGGACAAAAGTGAGTGTGACCTCTGAATACAATTTGAACAGCTATCTATCTATCTATCTATCTATCTATCTATCTGTCCGTCCGTCCGTCTGTCAGTCTATTTTATTTTAATACATTACAATAATGTTTTGTTATTGTTTTGTGTATGTTTTATTGTATGTATTAATTATTTCAGAGGAAAAAGCAGATCTCCATCGAGGAGAAAGAGATTGACAGGACAGAGAAGGAGCTGATTGCGACGGTCAAGCGTCCTGCTGAAGCAGAGGCTTACAAGATGCAGCAGCTGGCTGAAGGACAAAAGTGAGTGTGACCTCTGAATACAATTTGAACAGCTATCTATCTATCTATCTATCTATCTATCTATCTATCTATCTGTCCGTCCGTCCGTCTGTCAGTCTATTTTATTTTAATACATTACAATAATGTTTTGTTATTGTTTTGTGTATGTTTTATTGTATGTATTAATTATTTTTAAGTAAAGTTTTTAATAATAAAATAGTTCAAACTAATAAAATAAAATAATTCATTTAATAAAAAAATTATAAATAGGCATAAATCAGTCAAATAGACATTATAAATAATATATAAAATAAAATATATACGTAAACTAAATATATAGTTAAAATTTTTAATATATAAAAATATATAAATATACAGCCTATACTATTAAAAAAATTACTGTATTAAGGTGTGGTCACTTTTACCGTTGCTCTGAGAAATTTCATGGGTGAAATCCAGTCATTTCAATAGGAATCCATGCAATTGACTTTTTCACATGAGAGTGAAAAGTTCCCCATGCTGATTTTGCTCATGTTCATGTTGGCTACATTATTGACATTAGACAATGCATAATTTTTTGTGCACAGACTTTCACTGAAATATTGCAATACTGCACCTTTAAAGAGAATAACAAAATAAACACCAGGGCCCGGTTTTTCAAAAGGTTTAATCCGGATAAAATTGATCCGGATTTAGTAATCCTTTTTTTGCGATCCGTGATCACGTAATCCAGCTTACTTTTGGAGCCAGTTTTTTAAAGCAACATCGGATTGGATCAATCTGATCCGGATAGGAACTTTTCAGGATCACCAAATCTGGATAACCAGTGCTGGATAACCAGTGCTCAAACAGGATAGGAAATCACAATGTAGAACTATAGATATGTAAAGAGCAACAAGTAGAATAGCCAGTGTGGGGTCAATATAAGTTTATTTTTATTTGAAATGAAAACCCACACATCTAAAAAAACTAAAAACAAGAAAAACCCCACCCCATCCTCTTCCAGCAGTCCACTCATCTGAGACCTACAACACAAACACTGTACATTGAGGATATTTATAACAAGTAACAAGTTTTGATGTATTGAATTAAAAAAAAAAGACTTAATGTCAAATACTCCACAATAATTTCATACTTCCTCATCTGATGTGGAGAGACCAGCTTGTCTGAGCGTAGCCTTTAGGAGGCGGATCTCAAGTCTGGCCTTGGTTTGCTGCAGTTTGGTCAGAGTCAGTTGTTCCTCTGCCAGACGAAGCTGTGCTTCTGCCCTTTCAGTCTCTTTTTGCAGAAGTGCCTTGTAATCATCATCTTTGTTTGATGAAGGGCGCTTCAAGCCTTTCCTCTGAGATCCTGTGGCAACTACCACTGGCTCAACCAATGAGGATCCAGCTTCTTCCTCAGGAACAGAGCTGAGATTCAATATAAATACGCTCTCTGGATCAGCCTCAGGAGGAACTGGCAGATTCTCCTCCTCCTCCTCAATCCAAGGCTCGCCATCCCCTACAACACCTTGAATACCATGGAGAGCTTGCGACTTCTCACCTCCAATGATGTCGAGGACCACATCTGTGTAATCTCCCCTCTTAAATGGCTTGTTGCCTGTTTGTGGGTTTTTGGCTTCAGCATGGTCCTTTGTTGCCCTGGCCTTAAGATTCTTCCACCGCAATTTGATTTGGTCTGTGGTCCTCCTCTGGCCAGACCCTATGGCATTCACATTTTCTGTGATTAAAATCCAAACATCATTTTTCTTTTTGTTGGTATCCTTAGCAGAATTAAAACTTCCCACTATTGTTCCATAATGGCACCGAACACCCTCTAGTAGTGCATTGGTTTCAGCAGCAGTGAAGTTACAGCTTCTTGAGTCCATGGTTCCGTTGCTTTACTATAGTGAACATTGTTCATCAATTATAGGCCTTGGGTCCAATTGCCTCAATTGAACGCAAGCCAAAACTAATCAGTTGTAATAGGTGTGTTTGAAAAGACCAACTACACTGCCATATAAATCAGCCTTTCTCAGAGGATTCACAGAGAGACAGTGAAATGGCAGGTGTTGTCCACCGCCACCATCACTTTGCCAGGAGAGGATACCGTCAAAGGGTGTATGTTGAACGTACCAAGCCACTGGAGCAATACACCACTGAGGAGCTGTATGTCCGGTTTCGCTTTGGGAAGGCTGATATAGAGTACCTTGTGAACCTTCTCAGGCCAAAACTTCAACACAGAACCCAAAGGAGTCACGGTCTGTCTGTGGAAGACCAGATCCTCATTGCTCTCCGATTTTATGCATGTGGGACTTTCTATCAAGTTGTTGGTGACTATATGGGAGTGGTGAAATCAGCTGTGTGTGATGTGGTGAAAGATGTGTCAATCGCACTGGCCAGCCTGGTCAATGAATTTGTTTCTTTTCCAAAGGACAACCAGATTGCCCAGGCCAAGCGCAGCTTTTTTCTTTTGGGGAATATGCCCAATACTATTGGAGCAATCGACTGCACACATGTGCATATACAAGCACCTCGTGAGAATGAATGGGAGTTTATAAACAGAAAGGGGAGGCACAGCATCAATGTCCAACTTGTGTGTGATGCTGACCTCATCATCACCAACTGCGTTGTCAAGTGGCCTGGGTCTGTCCATGATGCACGCATCCTGAGGGAGAGCGCTCTATATATTATATATATTTATCTATATATTATTATATATTATATCTATATATTTTCATTACATTTTGGCCATGAAATCCACGCTGAATCCACCCTTCTGATGGGATCAGTTTAATCCAGATTTTTTGGATCAAAGTGATCCAAATCCTACAAAAAAGTTCTAAAAAAAACCCAAACTAAAGGTTTGATCCGGATCAAAACCAAGATTGGATTACGTGATCTAATCCGATTATGTAATCCGATTTTTCTTTTGAAAAACACATTTTCAAGATTTGATCCAATCCGTTATCCAAAATCCTAGTGGATTACTTTTGAAAAACCGGGCCCAGAGGATAACAGAAAGTATGAAACTTTTAGGAGACAATATGCTCATGATCATGAGAATCTGGGTGGGAATATACTTAAAGAAGTATAACAAATATAATTGCTTTTTTTTTTTACTTGATTTTGAGGTGAAATACGACCTCAGCATGTTGTTGTGTAACCGTGATAAAGTGCTTTGCTAATTGATGGATCATTTCACAGAATGATGTGGCACAGATGTTGCATCAAACCCAAATAGGATGTGTTATTAATCATGTATCCATTATGTATTTGAGGAACTGATCTTTGACACACACCAAGATGACTTGAGCTATATTCGTGACACTGAATAGGTTGAAGAAAGTGCTGATTGCTCAGGCCGAGTCGGAGAAGATCAGGAAGATCGGAGAGGCAGAGGCCATCTCTATCTCATCTGTGGGGAAGGCTGAAGCCGAGAGAATGAGGCTGAAGGCAGAGGCCTACCAGCAGTACGGAGAGGCCGCCAAGACTGCACTCGTCCTAGAAGCGCTGCCCAAGGTGAATGAACTGTTCTCCTATGTTATTTGGATGATAGAGGTCGCCACTGGAATTGTACGTGGTCACTATGGGTATTGTAGGATGGGCCTGGATTTCGTATTTTGAACTTCTAATGTCCATCACCTACAGATTGCTGGAAAGGTAGCGGCTCCTCTGGCCAGGACCAATGAGATTGTTATTCTGAGTGGGGACGGAAGCCGCGTGACCGGGGAGGTGAACCGCCTCCTCGCCGAGCTGCCCGTGTCTATTAATGCACTCACGGGTGTGGACCTGTCCAAGGTGAGACTGGGCGTGAAGTTAATCAAGAGACAAAACCATATTAATCAGGCCTTAAAGACAAAATGGTGTGGTACATTTTTTGACCAAGTGTTCAGTCAAAATATACATTAAAATGCATAATAATAAATCAATAATTAATTAAATATTGATTTATTAATAATTGATGAATAATCTATTATTTCCTGTATCCTGAGTTGATGAATAACCCACAAAAAGTTACAATTTTCATAAATTATTTTAAATAATAGACAACAATTGTACATTTAAAATTTTGTTTCTCAAACCCAGATTAGTAGAGATGGTAAATGTCACTTATTTGGACTACATAAATAATAAAACAAAACACTAAAAACTAAAATCACTGATTTTAAATGCTACGATTGAATTTAGGCATCACAAAATTATAATGTACAGTATGAAAAATTTATCATTTTGAGATTATACTATTAGAATAACATACAGTTATTAGATTATTAGTGTTTTTTAAGACTTTAAGTGAATGTTACATGATGGCAAAATAATATAAATGTAAAAATGAAGGAAATCAGTGTGCATAATTGAATATCTAATTTAAATATTTAAAAATAAATGCTTTGTTTTATACCTTTGGATATCAGTCTGCTACAGTAAATGAATGAATAAATATCCATTATCAGCTGAATTATATTTAAAGGGGTCATGAACTGAGAAATCTAAATTCCCTCGATCTTTTGACATATAAGAGGTCATTGTACTATAAAAACATCCTGTAAGTTTCAGAACTCAAAACTTCCTCATTAGTCTAAAAACAGCTTTATATTGAAGCCAATCTGCCAAAACGACAGCTTGTGGAATGTGCCACTTTATGACGTAATAGTGTGGCTAAACCCCGCCTCCGCAGAAGAAGATCAACGCCTGCTTCTACATCACTGCCTGTTTAGCCCCGCCCACCATTTTGAGCATGTAGTGTAAATAACGAGAACGCAAACGCAGGTCTACGCTGAAATCAAACGATAAAGATGCTCCGAAGATAACAAGAGGCTGCGCAGTGCCAAGTTGTGGAAAAACACAGTCTTTGCATCGCCTTCCTTTTAATCCCAACTTTAGGAAAGAGTGGATGAACTTTATTTTTAATGAAGTTCCAGATCGCGTCAGTAAGAGCTCGTTCTTTGTACACTTAAAGGGTTAATTCACCCAAAAATGAAAATTAGTCCATAAATTACTCACCCTCAAGTCATCCTAGGTGTATATGACTTTCTTCTTTCAGACGAATCCAGTCGGAGTTATATTAAAAATTGTCTTTGATCTTTCAAGCTGTTTAATGGCAGTCAGCGGGTTTTGCATTGCTTCAGTCCAAAATAAGTGAAATAAAAAGCGCCCATCCATAAAAAAAAAGTGTCTCCCACGGCTCCGGGGGGTGAACAAAGGCCTCCTGTAGCGAATCGATGCGTTTTTGTAAGAAAAATATCCATATTCAAAACGTAATAATCACTTTAATCTAGTTTGCGCCAGCAGTTGTACACAGAAGCAGTTCCAGGAGCATGACGTATGAGGTTGCGCATGCGCCGTGAGTCTCGTGAAAACTAACGTTTGTTAACAGGAGCAAAGGAAGCAAAGTTTCCTTACTTTAGCAAAGGAAAACCAGTGTCTCTTGGCTTATATCGAAATCCTCCAACATTTTTCTTTACAAATCCTCGTTTTGTACGTCTAATTCGTGACCGTTGTTTTGTTTTGATCTCTCCCCTGCG